AATTATGGTTCCTGCACACTGGACGCGGAAACGCTTGCCGCGCGGCAAAATGCAACGCGGTAACCAATGAACATGTTGGAAGCTGTAAGCTTATTGGTTACTCCGTCACATTTTGCCGCGCAGCAAGCGTTTCCACGTTTAGTGTGCAGGAACCATTAAGATGCTAATACGGCTCTCTGATTGGTTCATGCACTAGCTTAAGACTATCTCGAATCTTGAGCGCGCCGTCCTATGTATGACAGGCTTCAGGATGTGATTACAGGATGTAATATAACGTGATACGCGATAAAGTAATTAGGAACGCGGCAAGCCGCGTTAGTATATTCCGAATGTAGCCCATGTTTATATAAAAAACTGTAAGTTGAGTGGTTGTCTGTTCACGAATTTCGGACTGAAGGCCGCAGCATAGACTTTTGCATAACGCACAGTGCATAAGCAAATCAATCGATCAAAATCTTTCCTTTTCTCCAATTTCACGGAAAAGAAAAATTTTAATTGGTTGATTCTCTTATGCGCTATGTATTATTGGTGCGTTTCCACTGAGTGCGTCACATGTCGCGTCGTCAGTCCGCGTCAAGAGTTAACCAATCAAAACATCCGATGTGTCACGCAGAGTAGCGCGTCAAATAATACAATAAAATGGGACGTTTTGATTGGTTAACTCGCGATGCGTGACGCGCTCAGTGGAAACGTACCATTATGCCGTTATGCAAAAATCTGTGCTGCAGCCAGGGTTGAGCACCAGGGCACGTATTAAACTCAACGTATTTATACATGGTTTCATACATGGATGAAACTATGTATAATACATCGTAGGTTTCAGCCATGTAATAAAATGGCGCTTCACCGCACCGCACTTTGCAGTGTTCGCGTTGCTTGAAATCCTCAAATTTTTTAACTTAAAATGAGATAGATATATGTTTGAGCGTTGAAAAGAGTGAAAGCGAACTTGTTGAGTGGAAAAGTGCAAGCAACCCGAACAGATCCAAGAATACCATAGCTGTGTTCCTTTATTGCCAACACTGAAAATGAGACAATTTATGTTACATGCACTATAGATTTTCAGTACAGGCATTCAATTTTAGAACATAGCCCATATATCACTATAAGTCTAGCATAGAGCTGCTGGACCAATAAGAAGATATGTAAATCAAAATGACAACTTTAAGGTGAATATTAATTGGTCCAGTGTCCAATGGTCCAATTTTATATCATTGACAAAATAGCAGACAAATTGAATATTTCTGATTTATGTCTATATAATTTAGGAATCGTTTGAGGAAATTTGGGAAAAGCATTTAAACATTTGGGAAATAGTATTTTTCTTATAATTAACAAATTTTATCATGCGTCAAGTTAGCAGACAGCGATTTTATTTAATGTGTTTTATGAATGGAATCGATTAGAAATTATTTGGAGAAGACGTCTTCATTATTATTTTCATTTGGGAAAAGTCACTATTTGGTAATTCAATAGATTTATACATTATGAAAACGAACAAAGCCCGGGTGTAGTATGGGTGTAGTAGGTGTAGTACAATGAATATAGTAAACCTAAAATCGTCAAAAATTAATTTATTTTTCAATGTAGTCTCCTTTTAGGCTTATACACTTCGTCCAACGCTGCTCCAATTTGTTAATCCCTTCCGAATAGTAGGATTGGTTCAACTGTGCAAAATAGGCATTCGTTTCCGCAGTCACCTCCTGGTTTGAATAAAATCTCTTTCCCGCTAGCCATTTCTTCAAATTGGGGAATAAGTAATAGTCCGAGGGAGCCAAATCTGGAGAATAGGAGGGATGCGGAACGAATTGGAACCTTAATTCCATCAATTTTGCGGCCAGAGGAGTGAGCTGGTGCATTGTCGTGATGGAAAAGGACTTTCTTGTGGGCCAATCGTGGATTTTTTCTTGCAGCTCGATTTTCAAACGGTCCAATAACGATGAATAATATGTATCTGTAATAGTTCTACCCTTTTTCATATAGTCGACAAGAATTATTCCTTACGAATCCCAAAAGACGGTCGCCATAACCTTCCCGGCCAAAGGAATGGTCTTCGCCTTCTTTAATGCAGATTCTTCGTCAGTAACCCATTGTTTGGACTGTATTTTGATCTCAGGCGTGTAGTGATGTATCCATGTTTCATCCACAGTGACGAAACGATGCTTAAAGTCCTGTGGATTCCGCTGATACAGCTGCAAACAGTCCTTGGAACACCTCACACGATTTCGTTTTTGGTCAACTGTGAGCAATCGCGGCACCCATCTTGCGGATAACTTTTTCATGCCCAAATGTTGATGCAAAATATTATGTACTCATTCAGTTGAGATGCCCACAACACTAGCAATCTCACGCACCTTCAGTCGTCTATCATCCAACACCATATCATGGATTTCTTCAATGATTTCTGGCGTAGTGGCTTTAACAGGACATCCAGAACGTTCAGCGTCACTTGTGCCTCATATGGCCACTCCGAAATATTTGAAACCATTTATAAACTGTTCTAATCGAAGGTGCAAATTCATTACAATGTTTATCAAGCTTCTTTTTAGTCTCCTGAGGTGATTTGCCTTTCATAAAGTAATGTTTGATCAACACACGAAATTCTCTTCCATCCATTTTTTGGAAATCACTCGACTTCCTCGATGCAAACGAACGCCAAATACAAAGAAATAGACCGATCTGGCTGAAACTTGGTGTATGCTCTTCCAAAAGATGCTATTAACTGAAAATAATCTTAATACGGACCAATGGTCGCGTTCAGCAGACTCAACTGTTGCGGAGCGGATTAGTGAGCTCTCACTGCTATTGGATGATCTAAAAGAATACACCAATAGCAACGAGCGCTTACGGATCCGCTCCACAACAGTTGAGTCTGCTGAACGCAACCAATGATACCATCTCTCTGACTTTGCACGAACTTTTCAAACCACCCTCATAATACACGTTTTATACGTAGGAAATGTAAGAACCTCTCAAAGCGTTAAATTTCCCAACTCTGGCTGCAGTCAGACTTTTAACGTGGATAATGTAGAGATCGATCTTAAGAATTAATTACACACATGATGTAGAGATGGCGCCACATGAATATAATACTAGAGAGAAGCAGTGGACATCCTGACCTTTTTCGTTCGTAGGGTAATGTCCACATTTTTTTAGTTCTTTTCCATACTATTACGTAGATTAGACAAGGATGAACAATTAAAGTTGATTATTCATCCTTATCTAACCTATGGTCAAGCCATTGCGCATGACAGACTAAATCAGAACCATCAATCAAATGCTTGCCCAAAGTTAATGGAATACACATGGTAACAACATTAACCTATAGACCTGTTCTTTTTGGCTGAACTTTTGCACCAGTTTATCCTTCTTCTTCTTCTTTCCTCCTGAAGAGAAAAGGAAGAAAGATGAGCTGGTGCAAAAGTTCAGCCAAAAAGAACAGGAACCTATATCTATACTGGAATGATCATTAAGACTGCGTTGAAAAACATCACCTGGATGCCCGTGTATCATTCTATCCTTGTTTAACAACAAGGATAAAACGATGCACAGGAGTATTTGGGTAACGTTTCCGAATGCAGCCTAAGCGGCCTGGTACGAGCCGAGAGAGCGCAAATTTTGAATATCGGTATCCTTGTACAGTAAAATTCGAAATTTTTTACTATACATAGAAGTATGTGTGAGAAAAAAAATTGTAATTTTGCGGCAATATATAAGATATTGTAGCATTAAAAGTATGTATATTTAATTTATTTAGTACATTTATATAATAAAAAAATCATCAATTTAATGATATATTATCCAAATATTTATGTTAATATAATCGCAAATTTATATCAATTGTCGATAATGTCAGTTCTTAAATTATATATTCCGGGCTCTTTTTGTATAGACGAAAATTTGCCCAAGGTTGACGATCTTTAATAGTATCTCGTCGGTGGTATAACCCACGTAGCATGGAAGAAAACCACGAAAACGTGGACATTATCTTACGAAGTTTAGTACACAGAAAAAGGCCGAGATGTCCACTCTCAGGTTTCTCTCTAATAATACGTACAAAACTAAAATGCCTCCGATGCTACTGCACAGCGGCACAACTCGGTGTAAAAGGGATCTTTCTTGACTGTTTTGGAACGCATACGACATCTAAGATTGGTATTCATAATCGGTTCTTATTTTAAGACAGTCTTAAGTAATGTCTTACCCCGGATCTATAATAGGTGTTTTAAGCCTTAAGCTGTAAGAAATTGACCAATTACAGTCGAATCCGAGAAGAATAATCGACTGTGATTCGTCCATTTCTTATGGCTTAAGGCTTAAAACTCTATTGTAGATCCGGATTTAAGTAATGTCTTAAGACGCTAATGCGGCCCTCTGATTGGTTCGTGATACCTCAAGACAGAACTTAAGGCGGTCTTGAATATAAGAACTGACTATGAATACCTACCTAAATACGGAATCCATAGACGTTGCTCAAGACTCGAGGTGGTCTTAAGCTAGTGCTTGAACCAATCAGAGGCCGGTATTCATAGTCGGTTCTTATTTTAAGACCGTCTTAAGTAATGTCTTAATACGCTAATGCGGCTCTCTTATTGGTTCATAACACCTCAAGGCTGAACTTGAGACGATCTTGAATATAAGAACTGACTATGAATACCGGCCAGAGAGCCGTATTAGCATCTTAAGACATTGCTTGAGATTAAGACCGGACTATGGATTCCGGCTTAAGGTTTGTTCGCGTCGCAAGATTCAACATGCTCCAATATGCTCCTACCATAGCTCCTATTCACTCTATCAAGCGCGTTGGAGTGAGTAAGAGCTGTGGTAGGAGCATATTGGAACGTGTTGGAGTATGCGACGCGAACAAATCTCTAGTAACAAAATTTGTTTCTCGAATGTCAGGTGTATTTTATGCGTTCCAAAATGCATGAAAAAAAGAGACGCTTCGATCAAGCGAAGTTTCGTTTCTAGATATATAATTACATCGATGATTGAATAATTGACAAGACAAGTGAAGACGAGTGTCTATACAACTGGTGAGACGTTGTACGATTTCTTTTCTAACCTCTTTGAAAAGTCATTTCGTCGTATGCGGTACTTTTATTTCTTTCGTAAATCGTGTCTAAGATCGAGATATGACCAATATACACACAGTAAACAGTATGATCAGCAACAGAAATCGCGATTGTCTCGAATGCAGACTGCTGAGCGGTAGCGGTCTCGTCGCTGCCGGTTTATACGTCTGTCACCACTCCAAACAGTACCAAAAGCAAGTAGGAAAAGCAGCAATGTACTCGGTTGCCTCTGGTACGTCGAGCAGGCATAATATTGCTTTATAGCTTTATTCTGCTTTATTAGAAGCAGAACATCTGCACTTTGTTATACTCAAATAATGATAAATAAATTTTAATAATAAAAAATATCGATATTTTGATGAATCTTTACTCAATGTTAATACAATAATTTTGTTTCCAGTGCTAGTACTCCTTGGTACAGCCAGGATTTTCGACTTGCCACCCTTTCAAGATAAATTTAAACGCAGCTGAGAAATAACTTATTTAAGCGAGCATAAAGCCACAGCATTTTGTAGCAATTGTGCATAAAAATGTGAGTCTGATGTGAAAATAATATGTATATTTTATCATGTTCTTTCCTCATTTATGGTCTTTACCTAGAGCATAAGATTTGTCTATGTAGTCTATTGAATCTTTCACAAATATGAGTGTTTACTTTTAACTAAACACTAATATCTAAAACTAATTTTAGATATTAAAATATTTCCTGAAAAGTTATTGTATTGTTAAAATTTTATATTAAAAATGTATTTTGTTTGATAATTATTTTCATATCTTCCCTATAAACTTTAAATTAAATAATAAATGTAAGAGAGAAAGAGATTAAAGCAAAAAATTTTCTACCTTTATATAACACCTTTGCCATTCAAGTGTTATATGAGCCTCTTTTATTGGATGTAAATTGTTAATAGATACTTATATTACTTTAAAATATACAAGATATTTTATTCCAAGCTCCAAAGTAATAAAAAAGCAACAAATATATCTCGTTTTATGTATACAAAATATTGCAGACCAGTTGCTTTCTTCTCAAATATAGAATTTTTTATTTCCTATCTTTAAATCTTTTGATTTTCATGATTTTGGAATGTGAAGTGAAGCGTATTATTTGCTTCCATTCCGCGAAACGCTATTGAGGCTGATGCGGTGCGAAACACCGATGCGCGCACGCACGCGTATTGCACGTGTTGCAAAATACAAAGGCGCGCGTGCAGCGCGGAGAGCGAGCCGTAAACGCTTTCGTGGTGCGCGCCCGCTCGTTAATATTCGCACCGCGTTACTTCCTGTTACGTACTCAACGATACACTTACAGGACACGCTGGCCATTGCGTAGCGATGTAAACTTGTATACCCACTGTGCGAGTCTCAACGCGGATCGATCGCCTACGCGACCCGAAATATATCCCGTAGCAAAATTGCGAATATCGAAGTACATGTATTGGATGATATTTGGATACTGAAATCATCCAAAGATTATATTTCAGTTCAATTTGAGCAATCGTCTGCAGAATTAATTTGTTAAATACAGTTATTATAAGAATTTGAATCATAATTATTTTTAAAAAATTCAAATAAATTTTTTAACAATATATAGCGATTGTTGGAATTCCGATTTTTTCGAAAAGTGAATACTAAAAAATCAAGGGAAAATTATTTATTGAAATTTACTTTGTAAGATCTTTAAAAAATGTAACAAAATATTTTATATCGTTATTATAGTTGCTATCAATGATGAAATAACAGATTTTATCCTATTTTTTTGTATTATGATTTGATCGATTTAATGTTAACAATAGAAAAGTATGACAATTACGGAAAATATTACGAAAAGGCTTATGTGACTTTTTGTGCAAAATTAATTTGTCAAACATAATTATTATAAGCATTTGAAATTGTAATTGTTTTCAAAAGATTTAGATAAATTTTACAATTTATAGCGATTATTTTATTTCTGATATTCTCGAAAAGTGACTACATTAAAGGGAAAATTATTTCTTGAAATTTATTTTATCCGAAGTAAGAGCTTTAAAAAAATGGAACAGAATTTTATATCGTTATTATAATTGCTATCAATAATGAGAAAATTATAGATTATCCTATTTTTTGTATTATATTATAGTAAGATCGATTCAGTATCAGCAATAAAAAAGTATTAATATTAAGAATTAATAAGACAGAAAATAGTTTAAAAAGGCATATGCGATTTCCTTTTGCGCATTTGCATAATCTGTGGCAGATCGATCGGCAATCAATAACAACTGAAATAAGCTCTTGTCCTCCCATGCAGGATACTTATTCAGCTGCCGAAACCGAAGGTGCGACACAGCTTTTGTTAGTCTCAGACGAGGTCGTGTCTAAGGTCGTTCTTCGGGTTCTGGCGCCACACCCTGGCGTTCCTGGCGAAGGTGACACACGAAGAAGAGGCCGTGTGCCCCGCGCACGGCCTCTTGCCGCATCGGCAGTCTTGACACGCAGGAGATCGCTCTTGTAATACTTGGAACACGGAGCGATCCATCCGGTACACGTTTGGCGTGCCTGTTACGTGTGCTGCCTGTGCCCCGTTTGCGATGAACAGACAATCAGGCCCGTGTCCCGCGACCCGCCTGATCCATCTCGTGCATCTTTAATGGAAGAAAGATAAAATTATTAGAAATAAAAATCAAAGATCCTCCTTTTAAAAAAAAAGGCAAGAAAAGATCGAACATTAAATCAAAACGAAGCCTTGAAGATTTTATTTCGGTCAAAATTGTTAACTTAAATCTGCGTCTGAAATCGGAAAATGTGCGAAAAAGAGAGTTGCGTCGCTAAGTTTCAGAAGGAGAAGAGAGTACTTCAAAAATTTGATAGAACACTGCATTTCATCGCATTGTCGAGTCTTACCTGGATCGCGAGAAGTCGAGGACACTCGCTCGCCTATTTTTCTTTCCAGAAAAATAGACACAGCCGCAAACAAGACGTAAAACATATTCTCCGGAAGCGCCGTCTATGCGGTTTTGCAGCGGGTCCGTTTTTTCTTCTACGGCGAACGCTACGAGTCGCGCACGACCACAGAAACGAGCACGTTTGCGCATATCCGTACGCATACCCCGGCGATTCGACGCGGTTCACCGGGCTGTGGAAACCGAGAATTTTGTTGTTAACCCCGCCTTATGTAACACGTTCATAGCTTGGAGAAAAACCGAACGACGTCCATCATTGCGCGCTTTGAATGACGAGCGAGGAAGAAAAAAGAAATAATAACGGAGAAAGGAAGGGAAAACGGTGAGAAGATCGGTGTCGTGGGGAAGGATCAAGGTCCTTCGTTCCGTCTCCGTTCGATAAATCCAACGTTCCAGTCGCTCGATCGTTCGGAAGATGAGAGAAAGCGAGAACCCGAAGCGCGTGGTGTGCCCCTCGCACTATTGCGTCAACGCGTAATTGCAAGACCGTTCCTTCGTTCGTTTCGAAGGCCCCGGGGAGTTTATGCATGTAACGCAGCCTCTCCTGGATTTCATCAGTTTCTTGTTCGCCCAATAATGTTTCCCGACCATACTAATAAAATTAATTAATTTAAATGTCACATTCTGCGTAAATAAATAATTATTACATTTTACTGTGCTACACAACTTCGTTATCTTTCTTATTATTTGTTTTGTACTACAAATATTTTACATCTTACAACAATTATTGAACAGCAATTAAAATTTAATTTTTATTTTCAGTTTCAATCAGCGTTACTATCTTTTCTCTCATCTTGAATTTCCAATCTCAAGTAAAATATTCGCGGCGAGATAGCGTTGTTTATTTCTAATAATAATTTGGGTGATTAGAAATTTAAGTTCGACCTAGCCAGGTATATTTGTGTCTTTATGATGGGCCAGCAAGTAAGTTCGCTGAAATTAGAGCAATGATTTGATTCCTTCGTATGTAATGTGAAATTTATTATCAAATTATGTCATACCAAAAGTGAGACTCAAGAATAACCGTCTGCGCATATCGATCGAATTATTTCGAGATATATTTGCGTCCCGGGCAACTGGGTTCTACGAATTCATCAAATTGGCGCTGTTTTCGTTTAAAGCTTCATATTTTATCTACAACGAAAAATTCGATGTATCAAGATTGTTTTCGACGTTTTTTTTTTATTTTTAATTGCATTTTGTTTTTTATTTCAAGTTTTTTTCATGTATCGTAAGATAAAATAAGCTTGCAGCACATAAGGAATAATTTTCATCGATAATAAAATACAAGTATGAAATGTTGGTGAAAGATCAAATCATGCAGTTCGCTTCAACTTCCGCTCGAGTTTAATGGGACAGTTCATGTGCTCGTTTAGGATTATATTCGTTCGTGAATCCGATTAGTGCAAATATCAACTCGACGGTAATTCGTTTCCTCCGTCTTTAGAAGACTCGCATCTAACCGCTTTGATTACGTCAAGAGAGCATATCCTGCGGGAAATGAGCGAATTCAAAGGAATTCATAGAAATTTCCATTCCGTAAATTCATAAGCCTTCAAGTCTTCAAAAACCACGAACTAAAATTACAAAAAGAAATTACTTTTTTTTTAATTTAAAATTAATATCTTATAAAAAGAGAGAAATTCTTTTTTAATCGAATATTTTCTTATAAGACAAAATTTTTTTTCAATTTGTTTCGATATTCATTTTTCCCGAGATATGCATTATCAGTGCATTCACAAAATTTATTATACCTAAACGTATTGTTCGCGCTCACATATTTTTAATTTTCATGTGCGCGATGGAAATGTTATTTAAACTTTGAACGCGATTCTCCGGCGTGAGGTGTCTTGCTGACCAAAAAAGTTTCGCTATCGATCTCGATGTTTATACGATTAAGGACGTATATGTGTCACATTTAAAAACAATATCAAAAATATACAAATTTTATATAGGGGAAAGTTGCCGAATGCGTACTTAACCTATTTTTTATTATATTTTCCATTTGGCATTGTTTTGTATGCAAATGAACATTAGAAATTGTAGCTTGAGGTTTTGGACGTTTATTATTACATGTTTAACTTTCCAATATTAATAATATTAATAATGTAAAATATTGATGAAGTACAATTTAGGCGATCAGTACGCATTTGGCAACTTTCCCCTATATGTTCTATTATTATGTCTGAATATCTATGTAAAATTTAAGCACAATTCTTTTATTAGTAAAAAGATATTTAATTTTCTTGTTTGTCTTGATTCTCAAAATCACATTTTGTAATATTTATTTGCAAATTTAATGAGGAAGAAACATTAAGAATCAAATCAAATTTTATGCTAATTAAATAATGCTGATCAAATAATAGTAAATATTCGTGCAATAATTTTTTTATTCATTTACTCGTTTAAAAATTGTTGACCCAAAACTGCAGAAAAATATAGTCATTAATTGCTGCATAAAACCATTATAAGCTAAGTTATTTATTTGTTTTGTTTTCTGCAGTTGGTTCAACGACATCGGAAATTTTAATAACATCAAAATTTCTTAAATGAAATTGGCTGATATTAGCTTATTATGATTAATTGTTTGATTTGATACTTTCAGTTGATATACTTATAACCAAAACATCCTTAACGACGTGTTTACAATAACGTTATCTCGCGTCACCATCTCGATTCGCTTTTAACCACAAATTACGATAAATTCGACAGTTCGGGAGCCGGTATTAGTATGCCTGTAAATCAAGAAAGTCACCCGCGTGCCGAGCCCTATCTCTATCGCGCGATCTCCGCCTACCTTCGACAACTTGCCTGCTTGGGAGGCTCGCCGCGGTCGTCCCATGTCAGAGATCCGCGCAGAAATCCGCAAATCGAGAAAGGATCGTTGCACAAGAAGGTTGCAACCGCATCTCTTCTCCATTCTCGACCTTTAGGGCCGGCACGAGACACAAATCACATTGCGCCGCGCGCTCACTCGGCTCTCGGCTCGTCTCGACTCGCGACGGGGAATTTATTGCGAAATAAACTAGATTCTTTTCTTTTCTTTTTTTCCTTTTTAAGGTCACGACACTCTCGCGATGTGTTCTGACGCAAACCCTGCGACGCATCGTATTATTACGCGTGACCAATGAGTAAGTGCCTCTTCAGATCGAAGGGACAAAGGAAATGAAGATGAAGGAGACAAAGACGTACCGCTCTTTCATACCGCACAATTTTATTCTTAATTTAATTTATTATATTACGCGCGAAAGAAATTGTATCTCTATTTTTTAAACATGATATTCTTTGATAATTTTTTAGTTCATCTAGGAAGATAATTCACGGATTGAGTAATAATTATATATGTATATTCAAAATATATATATATATATTTGCTATAGCATTGATTAAAAAATAGCAATATAAAAATGTCATTTATCGGTACATTGTGATTCTAGAATAGCGGACTGCTACGTAGATTAATAACGATATGTAATTAGCAGCTGAAGAAAATTATATTAATAAAGTTGAACTAATATTCCGCCAACGTTTTAATAAAATTAATAAAATTAAATATTACGAATTTTTTTATTTTGCTCGGCTTTAAATAGAATTATATGGTGGGTAAAAAAATTTGATTTTATCTTTATTAATGAATTATCGAGTTAAGAATAAAATGTACCGCGTCTCGTTTTACATTATTTCTACATATTTGTTACGGAATAGTCGTCTATAGCGAATTCTATTGGATATACTTAGTGCGCATTAGTGTACCTACATTAAAGTCGTCATACATAAATTGACGTAAAAATGTGCGTTTAATAAATATAAAAACAGATTAAACCATGAAATCCTCAATACATTTTATTATGCTGTTAAAAAAATCTGTACTTTATAATTCGAAAATACTTGCATTTTATTTTTATACATACTACGTCCAATCGAATTTGCTATGAGTCCAGTTCCATCAATGTAAGATTAGTTTTAATCTTGGTTCAATTTACCTTTTATCTTTTTCTAATTATAAGAATTAAGAAAAGATAAACAGTAAGTTAAACCGAGATTAATTTGTTAAAACCAGGCCTTAATCATTGTTTTGTCACTATTTTCAGTTCAAAATGCGCGTTTGAAGTTTCGTGAAAATTCGCGAGGTGTTCACTGCTACATGGAACGTTTTACCGCCGACCTTTGGGGGCCGAATCACACACGCGACGAGTCACGGCATCGCGTTAACGATGCACGCACAGCTCTACGCACTGGCACGCCGCTCACGCGTGCACGTATCCTCGCCAGTACTAGCACCGTACAACAGGCATGTAAAACTGCTGGAATACTAATGTCCTGTATGGGACACGCTCGGTCGTCTGCGTAAAATCCGTCTTTTATCCTCGTAAGGTCACACACCTGTCCAAGAAGTTAATGTTAAATGGATAATATAGTCAACCGATAGATGTCAATAAGAGATCCGTCGAAAAACGATATTCGGCAAATCGGAGATGGTGACGATCGTTATTGTACATTTTAACAACGGAACTGTTATTAAATCGATAAATATCTTTTAACTCATTTCTTAATTCTTTCTTTTTTTTTCGTGTTTTATTGAAAAATTACATGATTCTAAATCAATTAATTAGTTTTTACGAAAATTATGTTTTAATCTCCTTTTGTAACTGTTTTATTAAAGAGGAATTCTCAGCTGTATTAATATTAAGATTTCAACACATATAAATGATTTAGAATTGCTAATTGAATTCGTAAGATACCGGAAATTATCACCAGCATCAATCTGCAGCCAAAAGAAATTTATAAATAATCGATAGAAACCGAAACGAACGCAACAATCTTTCTTCATTCTCGTTCTTCTTCGTTTTGTGACTTACGCGATAGCATAAGAACCTAACGCAATTCTTCCGGGATTTATCTAATGGCAGATCGAATATCTTACTCGCGTTACATGATTCTTAGTTAAATAATTAATTACGCTAATAGCGTTATGACATTTTATGATTTAAAGTGTTCTTATCAAGGGAAACCTTTCACCAACGCCTTCTTCCTCTCGATACATATTATACTTGCAAAAACATACGATGTATAGAAAACAATATATATAATAATTATGTTTTAATTTAAATTTAGACAATGGTTCGACTAAAAAATCAAAATATTAAATAAATTAATCTACGATATTAAAATAATAACATTTTTCATTAATTAAAATAAATGAAAATTGCAATAATTTCTAATTCATTTATGAAGAAAATCGTGAGAAATCGTGCCAGCCGTAGGCTCTGAGGAAGAATCCCGGATCTTCTTGCGCGCATACAGTGTTGGAAAAACTACGACATGACCTACCATCACGCCGATCATTCGGCTGTACGTGAATAAACGCGTTAATATCAGGAATTACTTGGAGAATATCACGGGGGAGACAACTTGACGTCTCAAATATCTCGCTCTAGGCCGTCATTACCCGCAACCCTTTTTATCAGAATTAGCACATGACGCGCCCTTTGCCAATCCCGTTATCGAAAGCTATTTGTGCTTATCGTCGTTTCTGAAGTACGCAGACATGTTTAATATAATCCGTATTATCCCAAAGTGC